ATGGCACATAACAACAAGTCCTTCTAGACGGTAATCAAAGCCTGCCAAACCTACAGCCGTCAAGTCAATTCAGACTCACAGTGACCCTACAGGACAGAGTAGAACTGCCCCCATAGGGTTTTCTAAGGTTGTAAATCTTAACAGGCATACTGTCTCTTCTTTTTCCTGCAAAGTGGCTGCTGGGTTCAAACCACCAACCTTCTGGACAGCAGCTGAGTGCTTAGCCACTGCACTACCAGAGTTCCTTAGAAGATAACCAGGAATCTCAAATTCAAATTCCCACAACTTTTTTTCCCCAAAGTCACCAACATATATCAAAGATAGAATATCACATCTGAAGAGGTAGGCAGCAATGATGACAAAGGAGAAAATGAATAATTCTAATTTAAAAAACAAACTCTCAACAATGCAAACCAAATTAAATTATGAAAGCAACCAAGAAGATCATGTAATTATTCCTTTTCTGTGTTCCAAAACCAAAACTCTGCCACCAAGTCTCCAACTCATAGCAACCCCCACTAAGTTTCTAAGGCTGTAAATCTTTATGGAAGCAGACTGCCTCATCTTTCTTGCACAGAGCGGCTGGTGGGTTCGAACCATCAACCTTTTGGTTAGCAGCCAAATGCCTTAACCACGGCACCACCAGAGCTCTTTTCTTTTCTGTATTAGAGACAGAAAAAGCTAACGCAGCCACTGGCATCATTTATGCCCTGGGCCTTTCTCCTGTACTTCCCTTTGATGAGGCAGGTTGCAAAGCTGCCACCTCCATCACAGTACACTCAACAACCAATGGCAACACCTAGCCAGCTTCTCATTTATATGAGACCTTATCCATAGATCAGGGCAGGTACAGGTGAGTCAGTCAAGGTCTAGTTTAGGGAAGAGGAGCAGGCATGTTAGGAATATCAGATGAGAATCAGATGAGACTCTTATGTAGTTTAAAAGGCAGTTAGAGGCAATTTCATTTTCACTATTATGGATTCAATTGTGTTTCCCAAAAATAGGTATTGGAATCCTAACCCCTATACCTGTGGATGTGATCCCATTTGGAAATAAGGTTTCCTTTGCTGTGGTAATGAGGCCATATCAGTGTACGGTATGTCAAGCCTAATCACTTTTGAGATATAAAAGGAGCAGATTGGACAGAGACAAGCAAGGACAAACAGGGGAAGACAGAAGTCACAAGAAGATCACCCAAGAGCAGAAACTCCCCAGAGCCAACCGAGAGAGAGCTTCCTACAGCTGGTGCCCTGAATTCAGACTCCTAGCCTCCTCAACTGTGAGAAAATAAATTTCTGCTCATTAAATCCACCTACCTGTGACATTTCTGTTTACAGCAGCACTAATTAACTAGGACACTCACCCATCCCAGCTTTAACATTTCCAAATGCTTCTAGCCTACCTTAATCAGGTATCCTTGACCAATATACATGTTTCTCCAAGGAACAACACCACACATCTGGGTTGTGCTTCTTTATTTATAGTAAGCCTCCCAAAGGTTGAAATTATAACTAACTACTTAGCCCTTTACTTGTATGAACTGAAAGCTATAACCACTGGCACCATCCCTTTTGAATGGCCTAAGAATTTTCTAGGAGCTCTGGTAGCACAGTGCCTTAGGCACTTGACTGCTAACCAGAAGGCTGGCGGTTCAAACCCACCAGCCAGCCACTCCTCGGAAGGAAGATGGGGCAATCTACTTCCGTAGTGATACAGCCTCAGAAACCCAAGGAGGGATCGCTATGACTCAGGTCCGACTTGGCGGCACATAACGATGACAACACAGGAATTTTCTAGAAAGAAGGGGACGTAATCAGCCTCCCTAACTTCAAATTCTCACCAAGAAGGGGAATGAGCACAGAATACCTTCCCCCAATTTTCTCATCTGTGACTGAGGTGGCTGCAACCTTAACTTTTCCACTCCCTTTGAGCGTAACCCTAAGGGAAAGTACAAACGGCTTATCTTGTGCTCACTTCTGCAGCGCACATACTAAAATTGGAAGGACACAGAGAAGATTAGCATGACCCCTGCACAAGGATGACATGCAAATTTGTGAATTGTTCCATATTTTTTTATTTTTACTTATTAAAGTTTACTTATTAACTTTAAAAAAAGAAAAGAAAAAAAAGGCTTCTTTTAAGAGGAACGTAAAGAATCCATGCCATAAACAGAACCATCCAGAAGGAAAAAGAGGCCATCCTGGCTTACAAAATCCTTTTAAAACAAAGAGACAGACAGCAAATTTGTCTTAGAGATCTGGAACTAAGGCATTTGGAGACAGGGACAGAAAAACCAGATCCAACAGGAAGTGCTGAGGTTAACTGGCAGGGCATGGGGGAGGGGCATTCCTCAAACCCCAAAAAACCCACAGCCAGTGGAGTCAGATACAACTCATATAGCAACCCCTCCTTGGGTTTCCAAGGCAGTATCACTACAGAAGTAGATTGCCCAACCTTCCTTCCAAAGAGTGTCTGGTGGGTTTGAACTGCCAGGCTTCTGGTTAGCAGTCACATGCTTTAGGCACTGTTGTTGTTGTTGTTATGTGCCGTTGAGTCAGACCCGACTCACAGCGACCCCTCCTTGGGTTTCTGAGGCAGTATCACTATGGAAGTATATTGCCCCATCTTCCTTCAGAGGAGTGGCTGGTGGGTTTGAACCACCAGCCTGCTGGTTAGCAGTCAAGTGCCTTAGGCACTATGCTACCAGAGCTCCTTGTTGTTGTTGTTGTTATGTGCCGTCGAGTCGGCCCCAACTCATAGTGACCCCTCCTCCAGTTTCCGAGGCAGTATCACTACGGAAGTAGGATTGCCCAACCTTCCTTCCGAGGAGTGGTTGGTGGGTTAGAACCGCTGGCCGTCTGGTTAGCAGTCAAGTGCTTTAGCCACTATGCTACCAGAGCTCCTACCAGAGCTCCTATGCCACCTCAAACCCCAGGGAACGCAATTAGCCCACACCACCTTCACACAATACATCACAAACCAGATGAACCAAGAAGTTTTTGTAAGCTGGAATTGGTGCCTTTGCCCAGAAAGGTGACTTCCCAACAGTAAGTCACCACAGGAGTCCCTTGAAGCTATTTTCCTGAAAGGTTCCAAGTAACTTGAACCCTTGAAAACACAGCTCTGTCACCTGATTCTAATGGATAATAATCACCAGTCCCGTTTTAACATTGTAAAATGCCTCTGGAACTAGACCCCCTGACCACTCAGTCTACACTGGCACCCTCACTACCAGCTACTCTCTAAACCAAAAACCAGATCCATCACATGGAGTCAATTCTGGCTCATGGTGACCTCCTGTGTTAGAGAATAGAACTGCTGTATGGGGTTTTCTTGGCTGTAACCTTTACTGAAGCCAAACATCAGGCCTTTCTTCTGCAGAGCTACCAGGTGCGTTTGAACTACCAACCTTTGGATTAGTGGTCAAGCACAAACTGTGCCAACCAGTGACCTAGCCACTCTCTAAAACCAAAAAACCAAACTCATTGCCGTTGACTTGAATCTGACTCATAGCAACCCCTCCTTGGGTTTCCAAGGTGTATCCCTACAGAAGTAGCTAGCCCAGTCTTCCTTCTGAGGAGTAGCTAGTGGATTTGAACCACCAGCCTTCTGGTTAGCAGTCAAATGCCTTAGGCACTATGCCACTAGAGCTCCCTACCCTAGTCACTCTCTAGACCTGTCCTATTTCCTTCAAAGCACTGTTCATTGTCTGTGTATTCCCACTAGCATGGAAATGCCATAGATCAGGGACCTTGGCTGATGTTCACCCCTCTATCCTCTGTCTAGAACAAATTAAAAGCACTCATGACCTCTTGCTCAAATGAAGAGACAGAACAAAGAGAAAGGTGCTGAAAAGGGACCAACATGGACAACTCATACTTGCCCTATAATGTTATATAAATTTGCCCTCATTTTGAAAGTACTGAACCAATCTCTATTCAAAACAAATTCTTCACCACAGTCACCTTCACTTGCTTCACATGCATGTAACTTTTAAATCACTGAAAGGCTTTGAGCATTTTCTTGTCCTAAAAATAAAAAGGAAAAAAGAAAACCCACTGTCATCACATCAATTCTGACTTATGGTGACCCCCACTAGGTTTCCGAGGCAGTAAATCTTTACAGAAGTAGATTGCCCAGTCTTGCTTCCACTGAGTGGCTGCTGGGTCTGAACCACTGACCTTCTGGTTAGCAGTCAGGTACTTTAGGCACTGTGCCACCAGAGCTCCTTTCTTGTACTATAAAACGAACTCACTGCTGTGGAGTCAGATCCAACCCACAGCAACCCCTCCTTGGGTTTCCAAGGTGGTATCACTACAGAAATAGATTGCCCAACCTTCCTTCTGAGGAGTGGCTAAAGCAAAGTTAAATAAGAACCGTATGCACCTGATCCAACTCACCTGTAAATCTGACTTAAAGACACGCTTAAGAATGGATCCCCTTCTTCCACAACCAGGGGACTGCCTATATACAGGTCAAGGCACAATTTCTATAGTAATGCTAGGCAAGGACCATCATACTCAGGGCTCCTAACTTTTCTCAACACTACTGGAGGAATTTCTTTCAATGAACAATCTGCCCAGAATGCGAAAAGATAGAGGAAAAGGCAACTCTCTGATTGGGTCTCAACTCAAAAATGCAAAATTATTCTAATAATAGGATAGTTTAGAAAGGGTAACAGTAGCACTGAGTAACTTAATTGTGACTGTGTGTGTCTGATGAAAGTCAAAAGTATACATCTTGTATTAAAGATTAAAAACATATACTACACTTAACGACTAATGAACTCCACTCGATCCTCTCTCTCCTCAGCAGGACTCTTCTCCAGACAGCATTAACTCATTTTCAGTGTTTAGTGGAAAACAAGAAATAGAAAGTAGTAGGATTATATTGGTTTAAGAGAAAGGAAGATTATCTCCCAAAGAAAGATAGAATTTCCTCCCCGTGTATTTGCTAACCTGAAAAGAAGCTAGAACGGCACTCAGAACTTAAGAGGTTACCTTAGACAGTGGGTAATAGACGTATTCTGCTCCACATCAACAGAAAGGTCGAGAAAATCTTCATCTTTGCTACTAACCTGAAGTCAAAAAAAAAAAAGTATCAGGCAGAATATACACAGTATAAGGATCTTTGAACAAAGACATTTACAGGTAATCAAAAACCACAACAGCATGAATTCATGTGTGGCTATGTATGCCCCACTGGTAACTAGAGTTACTTTAAAAACCAAATTCTAGAGAAAATCCCAAATGCTCGATTCAACCTCACCCTCCAATCCCAGTTTAGACATAGAACTTTCCATAATTAAAACTCAACCAGATTTCTTTTCCTCTCCATTCACATTCTCCCACTGATTCAAAGGATGAGGTATCAGATGAGGATCCATACAGTCCAGACCAGCGAGATGCCAAACAGGGAAATGAAAAAGGACGAGAGACTTAGAAAACTCAGTTCCCAGATGAATACTCCTTTGTTAAACTTTCACTTTCTGCTGCTGTTGTTGTTTGCCATCGAGTCAGACCTGACTCGGATTTCTGCTCATAGCGACCCCTCCTTGGATTTCCGAGGCAGTTATCACTATGGAAGCAGACTGCCCAACCTTCCTTCCGAGGAGTGGCTGGTGGGTTTGAACCGCCAGCCTTCCGGTTGGCAGTCAAGTGCTTTACGCACTACTTACCAGAGCTCCTTCATTTTCTGCTTGTCCGTTGAAATCACTCCCTCCCTCCTACGCTTCATCAGTCACATTCTCTGGGGGGCCCTGGATCTTGGTGTGGGGCAGGCTGGAGAGTCACACTAACCCAACAGTGTACTATCCTCTGTCTCAGAGTGGCCACTACTTGCAGAACCTCACACCATCTGTGAACCATTGGACCTGGCGTTGGCCTAGGGCCTTGGCTCACAAAGGTCCGCCACACTGTCTACTGCTCTCAGCCAGGCTGATTCACTGGACCCAGCTGTTTCTTAGCACTCCACAGTTCACGCCACTCTGATTCTGGGTGCCAAACCGACCGGAGCTCACTGAGCTGGTGTTCACATTGCATCAGCTCACTGACAAGCCTGGGGCTTTACTGTCTTGCCCCTGCAGTGGGAGGGACCAACTGGCCCAGTAAGTGCTCAGCCAGCACTTTAAAAGTGTGGTAACTACCTTTTGACCTAACATTCTACTGCTAACAAATTATCCAGGGTTCTGGGTGGTACAAAGGGTTTGCAACTGGCCATCAGCTGAAAGATTGGCAACTCTAACCCACCCACTGTTGCTGTGGAGTAACAGACTGGCAATGTGCTTCCATAAAGATTACAACAGTGAAAACTCTTAAAAAGCAGTTTCATTCTAACACAGGGTCACCATGCATTAGAATCGACTGAATGTCAACATTTTGGCTTTTTTTTTTTTTAAAAAAAAAGCAAATTATCTAAAGAGATATAATTATATAATAAACTATATAAAGAGATGTGGACAGAGACGTATATGTAAGAATGTATAATGAGATAGACTTCCCAGGCCCATGTTGCTGCCACTTCAAAGGTGAGTGACTTTAGGCCAATTGCTTAGCTTCCCTGTGTCCCAGTTTCCTCATCTGTGGAGTGGGAACAATAACAGTTTCTATCTCATAAGGTTGTTGTGAGGATAAAATAGTAATACAGGTAAAGTGCTTTTAAAAGTGTATAGTAAGCATTCAATAAATCAGGGAGGGGCAGAAAGGGAAAAAGAGCCAAACATTCAAAAAGTTGGGAATTGTTTACTACAGTGTAGTTATCGTATTTACACTGTACTTACCATATTAAATGAAAAAGTAGGCTATACAACTATTCATAGGTTGATTACAATTTCATACAAAAAAGGCATAATATATTTGCACACACATGCCACCTCACCATCGCCAGGCTTTTGTATAGCACTTATTCCTGCGTGGAAGAACGGAATAATGGTCCTAGTTCTTCACCATTCCCTATACTGACTTCTTTGCCATAAGACTTTGCAGAGCCCTTCATCAGTGGTGAGTATGTTTCCCCACCCCTGACTCTTGAGTTCAGCCATGTGACTTGCTTTGACTAGTGGAATGCTGGAAGATATATCACAAACAGAGGCTTGAAAAACCACCTGTGCATTTGCTCTCTTGCACATCCGTCATGACCATGAGAAGCACAAGTCCAAGCCAGCCCTCCATGGAGAAGAGCTGTCCTAACTAAAGTGACCCAGCCAAGCCAGTCTAGAGCAAAACTCCCAGCAACCGGCAGACACGTAAGTGAGCCAAGTAAACACAAACACAAAGTCCAGCCAAGTTCAGTCAAGCCCAGCCTAGACTAGTCAGTGGGCTCTTGGCCGCCCCATAGTTGCATGAGCTATAATAATAATATGTTATTGTTGTTTACATGCTGTCAAATCCGCTCCGACTTATACCAATCCTATGTACAACAGAATGAAATACTGGCCAGTTGTGCACCAGCCTTAAAATCCTTGCTATACTTGAGCCCATCATTGCAGCCACTGTGTCAATCCATCTCAATGAGGGTCTTCCCCTTTTTCATTGACCCTCCATTTTACCAAGCATGATATCCTTCTCCAGAGAATGGTCCCTTCTGACATGACGAAAGTGAGACGAAGTCTGGCCACTCTCGCTTTCAAGGAAAATTCTGGCTACACTTCTTCCAGGACAGATTTGTTTGTTCTTCTGGCAGTCCCTAGTGTTTTCAGTATTGTTCCCCAACACCATAATTCAAAGGAATCAACTCTTCTTTGTTCTTCTTTATTCACTGTGCAGTTTTCACATCCATATGAGGCTACTGAAAATACCATGGCTTAGGTTAGATGCACCTTAGTTTTCAAAGACTTATCTTTGTTCTTCAGCACTTTAAAAAGGTCTTGCAGCAGATTTTCCCCAGTGCAGTATGATGACTGATTTTTTGACTACTGCTTCCATTGGTGTTGACTGTGGATCCAAGCATTAAATCTTTGACAACTTCAATCTTTTCTCTATTTATTGTGATGCTGCTTATTGGTCCAGTTGTCATGATTTTTGTTTTCTCTATGTTGAAGTGTAATCCATACTACACACTGTAGTCTTTAATCTTCATCAGTGCTTCAAGTCATCTTCACCTTCAGCAAACAAGGTTTGAGTCTTCCACCAATTCTAATGCAGCACTCTTCTTCATACACTCCAGCTTCCTGGATTATTTGCTCAGCATACAGATTGAATAAGTATGGTGAAAGATACAACCCTGACGCACACCCTTCCTGATTTTAAACCATGCACTATTCCCTTGCTCTGTTCAAACAACAGCCTCCTGGTCTATGGACAGGTTTCTCATAAGTACAATTAAGTGTTCTAGAATTCCCATGCTTCTCAATGCTATCTATAATTTGTTATGATCCACATAGTCGAATGCTTCTGCATAGTCAATAACACATAAGTAAACATCTTTTTGGTATAAAAAATATTTGCTTTCAGCCAAGATCCAGCTGACATCAGCAATAATATCCCTCATTCCACTTCCTCTTCTGAATCCAGCTTGCATTTCTGGAAGTTCCCTGTCAATACACTGCTGCAACCATTTTTGAATTATCTTCAGTAAGATTTTGCTTGCATGTGATATTAATGATATTGTTCAATAATTTCCACATCCTGTGGAATCACCTTTCTTTGAAATAGGTACAAATATGGCTCTCTTCCCATCAGTAGGCCAGCTAGATAGCTTCAAAATTTCTTGGGATAGATGCAGACGTGCCTCCAATGGAAGATCTGTTTGTTGGAACATCTTAATGGGTATTCTATCAATTCCTGGAGTCTTGTTTTTAACCAATTTCTTCAGTATAGCTTGGACTACTTTCTTCAATACTATTGATTCTTGATCATATGTCACCTCCTGAAACAGATGAACATCAACTAATTCTTTTTGGTACAGTCACTGTATATTCCTTCTATCTTCTTTTGATGTTTACTGCATCATTCACTTTTGCCCATGGAATCTTTCAATATTGCAACTCGAGGCTTGAATTTTTTCTTCAGTTTTTTCAGCTTGAGAAATGCTGAGCATGGTCTTCCCTTTTAGTTTTCTAACTCCAGGTCTTTGCACATTTCATTATAATGACTGACTCTGTCTTCTCAAGCTGCTCTCTGAGATCGTACATTCAGCTTTGCTATGTTGTCCTTTCTTCCATTTGCTTTAGCTACTCTCCATTCAAGAGTAAGTTTCAGAGTCTCTTCTGACATCCATTTTGGTCTTTTCTTCCTTTGCTGTATTTTTAATGACCTTTTGCTTTCTTCATGGATGATGTTCTTGATGTCATCCCACAATTCATCTGGTTTTCAGTCATGGGTGTTTAATGCATTAAATCTATTCTTCAGATGGTCTCTAAACTCAGGTGGGATATAATCAAGGTCGGGAGCTCTGGTAGCATAGTGGCTACGGCACTTGACTGCTAACCAGAAGGCTGGCGGTTCAAATCCACCAGCCACTCTTCGGAAGGAAGATGGGGCAATCTACTTCCATAGTGATACTGCCTCGGAAGCCCAAGGAGGGGTCGCTATGAGTCAGGTCCGACTCGACGGCAAACAACAACAACAACATAATCAAGGTCATATTTTGGCTTTCATGGACTTGTTTTAATTGTCTTCAACTTCAACTTACATATGAGTAATTAATGGTCTGTTCCACAGCCAGCTCTTGACCTTGTTTTGGCTGAAGATACTGAGCCTCTCCATTGCCTCTTTCCACAGATGTAGTTGATCTGATTCCTGTGTACTCCATCTGGTGAAGTCCACATGTACAGCTGCTGCTGCTGCATATCTTGTTGAAAAAGGTATTTTTAATGAATAAGTTACTGGTCTTGCAAAATTCTATCATGCTATCTCCAGTTTCATTTCTGTCACCAAGGCCATATATTCCAACTACTGGTGATTCTTCTGTTTCCAACTTACGCATTCCAATCAGCAGTGATGATAAATATATCTTCAATGCATATTTGATCAATTTCAGACTGCAGAAGTTGGTAAAAATCTTCAATTTCCTCATCTTTGGCTGTAGTGGTTGATGGGTAATTTGAGTAATAGCACTATTGACTGGTCTTCCTTGTAA